GGAAGAATGCACAGCACAGCACCTTTCATAAGCTCAGCTTCGCCTTGTTTGTGAACTAATTAATTTATCTGAAACGCAATAGAAATGCAAATTTAAAAGTATTCGGAGAAAAGTAAATCTTTTCCTGAGTCCTGCGTGCTAATGACACACTTGTATGTTGCTCTCATGATCACTAAAATTGAAAGTATAATTGTTTTTATAATATAATTGATAGTGTAAATTTTAATCTCTTTAGAAGAATAGTGGAGTAGGAGAAAAGAGTCTAAACTCTTCTTTTCCTCAAGATAAGTATAAATTGTAAAAATCAAGATCATATTTAAAATTTATTCTACAATTTTGAGATTGATTTTTGTTGCCCAAAAGAATTTCACAAGAGAGAAAGTGAACATCATGGGAAGAAAGATAAGGTACAGAAAACAAGCATCTGCCTTTAAGGAGCAAATGTATTTTTAACAAACACTAGAGAATATAGAATTTGCTGTATCAACAAAGTGCATTATTTCTTCAAGCAGCTGGATAAGCCAACGTGTGTTTATTGAATAAATGAGTATGTGGTAGTGAAAATCAAAGAGTGATTGAGTACATGACTGAATGGATAAGCTTAGTGGTAACACATTCTTCCTGTTTTTTATTTTTAGGAAATAATACTTATTTTAAAGTATTGCAAAGCATTCATTGAAAAAATTGGGTGAAATTCCTCATGTTCTCCTGTTGGAATGGCCAATTGTTACAGTAGGTTGAGAACCTTTTGTGTTATAAGATGTTGTTTGTATAGGTTGAATTACTCTAAATTTATAGAGCTTGGAGGAATCGGTAGATGAGAAAACACAAATCATAAGCAGAGGGCAGTTAGGACTAGTCTAAAAATAAACATTGGCTCATGAAATCACATCCTAGATAAAAAAGAAGGAAATGGATTTAGAGAATTACAGTGGTTTAGAAAAATTTGGTGTGTTTTTCTATCCTATTTTCAGTTAGTTTTGATGGTAATTGTTGTTAAAGGAACACCACACACTGTATATTTTTAAACATTTAAGCAGCAGCGGCAACACCCATAAATGTATTGGATGTCTTTGCTGTGGAAAAACAACCCTGGGCTTGCCATTATCATGGCAGGTTTTTACCTGCTGGAGCAAAGGGTTGAGGAACCGGGTTAAATATCAGTGTGAAATTAAGGCTCTCTGGAAGTCTCAGGACGTTATGGAGAGCATAGTAAACATTATTACAGCATGGGAACAGAAAGACTGGTTGCAGCAATAAACTGAGGTGGGACTTTGAAGAGAAAGGAAGACAGCCTTTGCTGCCAGAGAAGCCAGCTCCCATCCGCTCAGTCCTGGCTGTCCTGCCGTCTCCTGGGGCTCACTCCGCGGGAATGTGTCCCAGGTACTAAATAGAGTGCTGTGTAAACACACTCTTTAGATATTTGAAAATGCTCAAGTAACAGTTCTGCAGGGGTTACTGTGTAATTATTTCTAGCTGCTGCATTTATTTATCTTGGTACCAATTTATAGAGCTAGTTTTTGACAAGTGTTACCTGCAGTGTCTTGTTTCATAGTTTGAAAAAAGCACATAACATTTAAGAAAAATGCAAACATCAGTGGCTTTATTCAGTGACTAGAACTGGAAACTTATTGCTTACTATTTCATAAATCAGTAGCAGAATGTAACATTATATCTGTGACAGGTTAAAAAACAAAACAAAAAAATGGAAATTTGGACTTCTGAATGAACAGTTTATCAAAACACTAGCTTCTGATTTTATCTGAGCTTTACTGTAGAAAGGTTTTACTATTTCTACAAAGCCTAAAGGAAACCAGTGAACTAGAAAAGCTGAATATCATTTCTGACTAATCTATTAGTCATCCTGATAATAGGAAATTATTTAGTTCCTATTTTTTATAATAGTCCATCTTGAACGATAAAATCGCATAGCCCACTCAAAGGTATTTCAGGAAAATTGCTGTGATGCTTTGGGAAAAAAAGTACTACTTAAAAAGTGGGCACAGTAAGTGTTTTGCATTATGCGACTATTTAAATCACTCATTTCTCAATCTGTAGGAAATCTGTAGCTGAAAATGACCTCAAGGTTTATAGTGTGGGTGATTAGGGATGGGGCATTGCCATTTGCCAAGATAAGAAATGTAGGTGTTAGAATTGCTGTGTTCTTTCTTTTTAGGGAGAATAAGCAGGATTGCATAATTGATGTGGTTGAGGATGCTTGGATTTGCAGTAAAATTATCTCAAAGGCATTCACATAGAACTGACAGTGCTGTGTCATATTCAGAGAGAGGATGTACAGTAAGAAGAAGGAGATAAAGACATCTCAGTGCATCTCTCTCTAATCAGCCGTCAGAAGGGAGAAAAATCAAAGAAAGTGGCAGAGAACAAGCAGATTAATAAATAGTAGGAAAAGGAGAATGGAGCATTATCAAGAAAGGCAAAAGAGAAAAGAAGGAAGTAGTTAATGGTGCTCAGTCCTGCTGAGAGGACCAGAAATGATATGAGGACACTGACTCTGACAGTTAAAAGGATGCTAGTGACCTTGGAGAAAGCCGTTGATCAGAATTGGGAGAGAACACACAGAGTCCTCACTGCAAACCTGATTCCAGGAAGATGAGTCACTAGTAAGTTGCAAGATATGTATGAGGACTCAACAAGTTTAGACAGCCCTGTAAAGAAATTCAGTAATAAAAAGAAGAGAAGTGGGTGTCCGCTGGAGAATTCAGCAGAGAAGATTGTTGCGGAAGAGAGGAGGTTGTAATTTCCATTAAGGGAAGGTACGAGAGTAAGTGGAGAGAAGAAGGAAGATGGGTGGAAGCAGGGATGAGGGAGCACACTATAAAGTAGAGAAGTTGAGAAGGGGTCAACAGAGTGGGTAGAGAGGTTGACCTTAGAGAGGAAGATGAACCAAACACTTCCCGAGTCAGATTAAAGGAGAAGATGCTCAGCCAGTGACAGCCCTCTCCTTCACGTCACCTCCTCTGTACCTTCAGTTGCATCTTGTTGTCTGGGTGGCTCGCTACCTTCTGCTCACACTCCTTTGCGTATTGCTTTTTAAGTCCTTTAGTTTAACTTTGCTTGCCATATGGTCGCACCTTGACTGTACGTTTTGTGAGAATGGGGCATGTTGTACCCCTGTACACGTTGCTTAATAAGCTCCCTTTTCATGTGATTCCCGCATGTATTTTCAGTAACCCCAAAGGCCAGTGCTTTGGGGGGAGAGGTTTTGCAGCCCAGCCTGTCCGTCGTAGTGCAGGGCTGAAGGCTAATTAGCTGCCTGTGTGAACCTCAATTGCTGTTTCTAAAACAAGTCCTCAACTTCAAACGAATGGGACAGGTTACTATATCAGACTTTTTTATTTTCCTGGTTAAGAAAGTTAAATGCATAACAAAACATAACTTAGATCTCATAAGTGGGTACTTCTGAAGCCAGGTGAAAATTTTAACTATAATTCGTTGTAGAAAGTGAAAACTTTGACTGAAAAAGAAAATAATTATGATAAGACAAAACTTTGTGAAGTAAATGGTTGCTAAATGCTATGGTTTGTGCTACTATTTATATCAGCCAAATAAGATTAGGTTGTGTCCTCACTGTGGTCTCATTCACACTCTGGGCACAAATCCCACGAGCAGAATAGTCGAATTATGTTTTCTGATTCTTTCTTAGCAAAACTAATTCTAAGCAAAAGTTAAAAATGAAAAGCTATCCTTGCCTCCCATTTGGAAAACCCGTAGTAAATATATTTCTATTTGTTTATACTAAGTATGTTACTACTTGTTTATGGTAAGTATGTTAGTATTTGTTTCATGGTTACTACTAATCCACTTTCTTTACTTTTTACATAAATGATCAGTGATCCAATTTTTTAAAGGAGAGCTCCATAGACACAGAAAGATTATGAACTGGCTACTATTTTAGTGGTTTTAGACTCAATATTATACTGAAAGTGAAATATTGTATCTAGTTAAATTTCTAAACTATGTAAAGCTATAAAGTTTATAATGTAAGGCACTGGATTTTATTCCTCCTGAAAATATTTGGTTTCATTTTTCTTCAAAATAAGTAGAGACAGAAAAATGGAAGGGTGAGACAATATATCTAAAGAAGTGAAATGTGGCCGAGGACAACTTTCATATATTCATTTCTTTGTGTTTTTATTATTATTATTATTATTATTATCCAAAATCATTTAGAACACTGATTGATTATGACCATTGGGCAGTTGCATAAACATCTTATTTTCTTCTGGAAGCGCCCAGGGAGGTATGAGAAGGCCCTTTAATTGCACTGGAATTTTAAATTGAACCACAGTGTTGCCCTGACCTGCCCTCTAGGTTCACCTGAACCACTCTCCAGTCTAGACTCTCCTCTCCAGCCTCCGGGCAATTTTTGCACCTATCTCATTGTCTCACATTCATGCCTTCTCCTCATTCTGTCTTCTCATAAAAACCTCCCACCCAGTTTTCTTAATTAATAACAACTCGTCCTTCTAGACTCCATGCCAGTGACAGTTCCTCTGGGGAGCCTCCTTTGGTCTTCCCATTCCTCGTGCTATGGGAGATGTGCTTCCTGTTGTCATTGTTGATGGATTCGAGTCCTCTGGGATGCAGCAGGGACTCTGGCCCCAGCTCTGTATCTCTAGTGCTTGCTCTATCGTGGACACGCTCCTTTAGTGTTGCTTGAGTGACTGCATGCACCGGTAGCTGTTTTGTTTTGGACATTAAGCTAGATTTTATTCTTATTTGTTAGGGAGAAGCATGGACATAAACTTTTTGCATTATGTGGCGTGTTATTAAACTAGTTGAGGTCTAGTTTGTAATGAATAGTTTACAAAAAAATAGAAATAACACTTGCAGAAATACCTCCCTTTTTAATTAATGCATAGACAGATTTAAACTATGTCTGATATATGTTTTGATCTTTAATTTGAGGGTATCAGGATAGCCTGTGATTATTAACAAAAATACACCCCAATTTCAGTGGCTTATCCCAGCAAAGATTTATTTCTTGCTCTTGTAAAGTCGATGGCGCATGCCTTCCTCCAGCGACTCAGGGATCTAAATTTGCTCCCTTTTCCTCCAGCGCGTGGCTTCCGACGTAGCTGAAGCTACAGCAGAGAGAGATGGGGGAAGAACATTGGCTTCTAGTCGTCTCTTCTCCGAAGTTAAACCGCTGTTTATGCTCAGGGTCCCTGGGCTAGAATTATTGTAAGGCTCAACAGAGGCTGGAAAAGGTAGCCTTTGGGGTACTTACACAGAGAATCAGTGCGTGGAAATTGACCAAGCCAGTGTGGGTTCTGCTTTGTCTCTTATGTTCTGAGTTTTTGGGGGGCAGTGATGGAACTGGCAGACGGATAAGAGGATAAGAGAATTCACTGGGTGAATTCAAGTGTAAAACATTAATTCCGCAGCTATTAATCGAGTCCTTGTTATATCTCATGTGTATTAATTCCTGAAGAAGGGTCTGTCCCAAAGATCCTAATCTTTTTGGCTTGTGGTCCATTTTGAGAATCTGATCAAAGTTATGAAACACAATACACATCAGCACTTAACCCTAAAATCTGGCAGACAAGTTTAGGGGTTTATGAAATCTCTGCAGCCCAGACGTTTGGTTGTTCCTTAGATATAGATTTATTCAAGGAGAGATGCAGACAATAGACGAAACTGTTGATAAAAGCATGATTGAGAGTCAGTGCGAGGAATGCCTGGTAGCTTTTAGTCATGGTCTCTCTTGCTAGCCTGTTCTGTATGAGGCTTTAACGATAAGTGGGTTAAATTTTTCACTGTTTTTTATAGTTGCTTTTAGAGAATCAGTGCTTTGCTATTAAAATATATGCTTGAGTTTGAGGGTCATACAGATTAATGAAAGGACTATAAGAGATTTCCATTGCTTAATTCTATACTCCAGGTCCCTTCATTCTTTAAAATTGTGAAGTGGATCTGTTAAACTAGAGTTTTGTATTCTCAATTACTTCACTCTAATTTTACATGTTTCACCATATGAAAAGTAAATGTCTGCCCCAAAGCCCTTCATTTAGAGGGTAAAACAGGGCATATGTACCCTGTGTAAAGAAAGTTAATATCAAGTTGACATGTGTTTAATCATGCCTTTAGAATTATTCCTCTTCAGAATTAAATACTTCTTCTTCATGCCCATTTTACAGATGAGAACATTGAGATTCAGAGGTTTTGGTTTTTTATTTTTGAGGAAGATCAGCTCTGAGGTAACATCTGCTACCAATCTTCCTCTTTTTGCTGAGGAAGACTGGCCCTGAGCTAACGTCCATGCCCATCTTCCTCTACTTTCTATGTGGGATCCTTACCTCAGCTTGGCTTGCCGAGAGGTGCATAGGTCCACACCCAAGATCTGAACCCTTGAACCCCAGGCTGTCGAAATGGAATGTGCGAACTTAGCTGCTGCGCCATCAGGCTGGCCCCGAGATTCAGAGTTTTTAAATGATCCTCCCCAAGTCTTTGCTCCTACGGACATTTTTATCTATTTCAGCAGTTTTCTGAGTAGATAGTAATTATTTCATCAAAAGTCTGCTCTCCTCACCAGACTTGGAATGTACTGAAAGGCCTAAGTTCTCTGTTATTTATCCTGATTCCCCCGGAGCCTGGCACTTATTTGGGTGCTCCATACATGTTTATTGAGTGGAGGAGTGAGTAAATAATCCAGTGAAAGTATTTTTTTAAAAAAAGACTGACACCTGATCCCTGCCCAAGTGTCCGTCCGACAGGCGGAGTCGCGTCGTGGTTTGGTACGGGGACATCAGAGCTCGGCTTCACACACCAGCTCAAGCTCATGCTCCATCAGGGAACTTGGCGATAGCATTGCCCATTTATAGTGTTGATGTGAGCATTAAGTGAATTTGTCTGTGCAAGGGCCTGGAGCAGTGCCTACGTCCAGTTTAATTTTGCTTTACAAATTTAAACCCCAAGGATGATGTAATTAGGACATAAATATTTAAATTTTTCGCTGAAATAAGAATTAGAGAGGGGATATAATTTGACATTGATTGAATAAAAGGAAGCAAAATATTTTAAACTTTAGCTTATTAGTATGCATTTCCATAATCCTGGAAATTGAGATTAAATTCACAGTTTTAGCATAAAATATTTAGGTGCACATTATTTAAGATATCATAAAGTTTAAAAGCACTTAAATTTTATAAGATTATAAAATTAACCTTTTCTTCCAGAGTTTATTTTCTTTCATTGTCAATTGAGCATTCAGTTGGAAGAATGCAATCACTTATGAGTGAGCAGAGGATGTGATCCTGCCAGGCTAACTCTGTTACTAGATATAGTCCAAAATTTAGACTAATATACTGAATGTAAGTGTTCGCCTGTTGTTCTTGTAAACAATGTATGTTTCAAATCCAATTTAGTATGAAAATTATCCACTAAATGTGACTCTCTTTCCAAGAATTATTTAATCAGCTTCCAGTAGATTTCAGTATTCTAATAGATTTACAACAACAAGCAACACAAGATCTCAGGTGTCTTTGCCGTGTGTTGGCTGGAGTCGTCCCGGAACACGAGAGAGTCACCATCTTTGCCGCCAACATTACCTCTTGCCCAAGTGAACTGATAAATAGCTGTCACATGAATGGCCTTTGTGGCCCTTCAGCCCACCAGAGCACAGGGAAGAGAGCCTGCTGCCTTTTAAAAATATATATATACAAATTTGCTTCTGGCCTCACTTCCATGACACTTTGTTTCTCATGGGAAGAAGCAAGAATTCCAGAATGACGTGCAGTGGAAAGACTTTCTGCCCTCCTTTGAGTTATGTACCTTGTAACCCAGCACAGCGGAACAGCATGCGCTGGTGATAATCATGAGACGCGAGCATCGGTTTCCACAGTTTTATGAAACTGTTTTCTGATTCATTAAAATGTGTGCTAAGGAAGACAGCAGTTTCCCTGACTTATGTTTTATTGTGCTCAGATGCAGTTTTTATAGTCTCAAACTAAAATAAGCAGATATCCCAGCACACTTTTTATATATAAAGACTGCACAAAGAATTTATTACTCTGTTCTTTTCTGAGATTGATTAGACTTAGTGTCCTTCTCAGTTTTTATGTGCCACCGACAGCATTAAACTGTTGTGAGTTAAGCCTGTTACCCCTTTATGAAAGATCTTGACCAGTATCTGCTCCTTAAAAAAAAACAACTGAGTCCTAGAATGTGCATGGAGGCAAGGAAGCAATCTGGATTTGCCTGACAGAGGACACCCTGAAGAGAGGTCCTGGGTTTAAATATCGTACAGACACTTCTCCCCTTTTTCTGTAGTTCTTAGGGTCAGAAGTTCAACTGTTCGTGATTTCTGGTCTAGGAGCCATGGAGCCCTCTAACAGGGCGTTTGTCTTCAAGTCTATGCTGCTTGGAAAATTGAAGTTAATTATGTGGAATAAAATAATGTTACTATGCCCTCAGAAAATCAACTTTATTATAGAAATTATTTTCTTCTTAGTTTTCACAATGATAAAAATATTATTTTTGTTCTCTATCCCAAAGGAGGTGTGTACATGTATGTATGTGTGTGCACATGTGTGTGTGCACATGTGTACACTCTTGTAGTTCCCCAAACAGATTTTAAGGCAAAGTCATGCATTTCCCCTGTGATATTAGCATGCTGATAATCCCAAATGTAGTGTGTCCTATGGTAGGGAGACAGCTGAGGAATGAGAAGACCTTGTTCTGTCCCCAAATTCTTCATTTACTGTTGGCGTGACACTTGGGCTTCACTTTCCACATTTTCTAAGCAGAGGTCATGGAGTCCTGACTTACGAAGGATGCCTCGTCTCTCTCTCCAAGCTGCTGGGAGGATGTGATCATCGACAACCCAGTACAGTCCTTTGCCCAGAGAGGCCCCTCAGGAATGGCACTGTGGTTAGTAATATTAGCTGCTATCCTTGAAAGTGACATGAGGAAGGAGGCCAGTCAATTTTCAGAAGCCCTGATTGTAGTCAAGACCATTGCTACTCATTAATTATATGATCCTTGGCCAGTCATTTCACCTCTCAAAGCTGGTTTCTCTACCTAAAATAAGGTAGCATCCGCCTTGATGACTTCAAATGACTGTTGTGAGGATTATAGAAAATAACAATGTGTAATGTAAATGTAAACAGTGGTAGTGTTCAAATACTATCTTTGGTACTAGGTTCCCATCCCTGAGAAAGGGGCCTTGCGGGAGCAGGGGAATCACCCAGAGACTGCATGTGGGAGGATGCTTAAAGACCACTTTCGTTTCAGTAATGTGATAATTAGGGTTCTGAGAGTGTGTGGCGCTTTTTTTGTGGGGAAGGGTGGTGGAACAGGAGAAGGGATATGTGGAAAACGATGTCAGAGAAATTGAATCTCAGATGGTGTCTTTCTTTTTCCCACCTTATTCTTGTTTCTTTGTGTTACTACTCCTATAGGATCCTGATTATAGCCTGACGTATGAATGAGCGATGTTACTGAATAGGGAAATCTAAGCTTCAATGAGATAACATAAAATGATCAAAGCAATGAGATGCAATGAATTAGAAGTAAGGTTGGCCCATGTCATGTGCTGTCAGCATGTCAGGATATGGCTGGTGGCAGACGAATGAAGAGAACTCATGTTGGAATTGGAAATATGGGGATCCACTGGGTCCATGGAGCAGAAAACACTTGAGAAGTTAAAACTGAAGATAGCGGCGTGTGTGTGTGTGTGTGTGTGTGTAAGTGAATATTTGTGTAGGTTGTGTTTAAGAATAAAAAGCATTTGTTAATTTCAGAATATTAAATTTCATATGCCACATCAATGTGGATAGCTTTTAGCATCCCATGAAGAGTCAAAATGTGTGTAAGGGAAGAATTATTAGACTTAAAAAATAAATTGTGATTCAAGGAGCTTTAAAGTCATGTACAAGTTTATCCACTACTTAGAAGTATGTCGTTATCTTTGATTACTGATATATTTTATTAAAGATACTTTTCATTTATTCATATCTGAACATAAATGTTTTCAAGAAGATAGTAAGTGTAATGTTCAATCACTGGCTCCTTAAGAATTGTAATGAGCTTGATTTATGAAATAAAAAGACAAATGATTAAGGAGGAGTAAAGGAGAGTTGAAAATTACCTTCTGGGGTTTAAGTGACTTGTTAGAATAAAGGATAGAAAAGAAGGCAAAAGCTATTTGAAAAATAAATATCTCATTCACTTTTAAGTATCCAAGTTCAATTAGTTTTCTTCCTAATTGGTTATCTTTCATTTGCTCTTAGGAATGAAGAGAATGAATTGAGATATGCAAGTGACAGCATTCTTTTTTTTTTTCCTTTTATTCATATGGATAGAATGCATTTTGCTTCTTTTCTGATCGTGCACTGCATTAGAAAGCACTTGTTTAGCTGTCCTTGTCGTCAAAGGAATTGAATGATCCACCGTGGTTGATCTCTGAATTATAAAAGGTGTCATCTGGTTTTTAAATTAATGCATACATGTGTTGTAGGAAGATATCAGTTGCTTAAAAGTACGTTAACAAATATCTTGTATTTGTTAATTTCTATTGAAGGGAAAACAATTTGACTTTTTCAAAAGCTATGTTTGGTACTTATAAACCAAGCCTAGTTATTCCCCTGGAGGTTAAAACCTTATATCCCCAGAATGACGGAGTTTAAACTTGTCCATCTCTTCTATCAGTTGACTTCAACTACATGTATAAGCAAGAGATGGTTTCTGCTTCCTTCTTAGTTGACATTGGCAGGAACTATTTATATCTATATTTTGAATTAGGCACTTGGACAGGACAGATGACATCGCAAGTTTCAAATCATTTGACTTACAAGAGGAATCCAAATTGATTTGTTTGCTAACAGATTGCTGAACTAAATTTCAAAGATTTTCTCCTTATCTCATGTAATTTTTATTTAAAATGTTATTCAGCCAAATTTTTCAGTTATTGTTTGCCACGAGATGCCTAGTTGGTTTCTGACTGTCTAAGTGGGATGGATGCAACGGTATGCTGGTAAATGTTTAACAACCTGTTCTCTGAGGGGGAAAAAGACCCCCCCCCTTGATTTGTCATGATTGCTGATTTCTGTGGTAGAAATACTAACACTGTGACTGATTTGAAGCTACCAATATGAGGTCACTGAGTAGAGCTGGGCAGAGATGCACACAGTCAGCTGATGCCAGCCGGGGCAAGGGGGCCTCAGCATGCCCCTGGAGGGGTCGGCATCACAGAATCCCTGATTTCCATTCTAGGATTTGAGGGAGGCATGAAGTAAGAGATAAACGACGGCTCTGGATAGCTCCACTGGTGTTATGAAGGGGATTGCTGCAAGTGAGCCTAGCTGTGTGCTCCAGGCCCCTTCTGTTGGAAGAGCCAGTTCCGCCGTGACTCTTGGTGAGTTAGGAAGCTAGAAGAGGGTTCGGACGTGATGTAAATCGTCTGTGTTGCACAGGGCCTATCATTTGCAGTCAGACCGGACTCACGCTCTAAAACTCAAAGTAGAATCATACCCCAAGCATATTCCCAAGAGAGACTTAGAAAATTATAATCTTATTGCCTCTTGAAAATGTTGGCCTTTTTCCTCTTTGTTCAGCTTCTTCCAGGATACCTGCTTGTCAGGTTTCTGGTAGATTCTTTTGGCTTTGTCATGGCAACAAGCACCTTGGCCAGGTCCCTAATGATTCTCAAATGTTTAATTATCTCTAGTTTCCAATATGCTGCTTCTGTCACTTTTTTAGTATCTTCACCCTAACACTTCTTGAATAGGTCCTTGGCCTGCGCTTTTAATCAGACTAGTATTCCCTTGCTTCTCCCCTCCTCCAGGACAGCTTCCACATTTGTGGGAAGCCGGGGCAGCCCCCTTTTGTACCATAACATAACGAAACTGTAATAAAAGCCCCGCACCCATTTCCGAAACCCTGGGGGTTAAGATTAGTGATAGTTGGAGATTATGCACCCGTCCAGTAATTATCTGTGGTCATACTAATACAAATTTTAACTTTTTTTGATTGATAGAATCCAAGTTGAACAAATCCTTCCCTGCTTATTCCGTTTAGATCACTCACTTATCCTGGCGTCTCCTTCCCTTCTCCCTTCCTACCCTTCAAGTCATCTCAGGAGTCACCCTTTCTGTGAAGCCCCCTCTTGTTAGCTCCTCTGCTCCCAGACCTGTTAGGGCTTCCTCTCTTGTTCTTCTCCTTGGGGCTCCCCTGGCATTCCATGGACTCTCTGTAAGTGCCTCGACATTTATTATAATTCCTGGCATTTTCCTCCCCAAGTTTTATTTTAAAAAATTTCAAACCCAACAAAAATTACAGGCTAGTATCGTAAATACCCATAGACCATTCAAGTAGATTTGCCAAGCAGATTTATGGATTCCTACACACTTTTTCCCCCAGAGGAAATAAGTTATACATGTCCGCTCCTTTTGTTTCATCCTTACTGAGATCCTCCTGTCCTTGAATTAATTATGCTCAATAATTTTTGACAGTTTATTTCTTGATTTGTTCATTCATCAAATATTTATTGAACAGCTACTATGTAACAGACACTGAAGCTGAACCTTGAAGGTTTCAGTGAGTAGATAGCTGGACTGTAGAATATGTATATAATTGAGGATGGTTAGATCATAAGGAGAGGATAAAATGTTACCATTGTAAGTGGAGAAAGGAACCCATATACACAGATCTATGAAAGTACCATCATTCATTGATGCAGTCATTCAGTTACCGACATTTATTGTCTATTCTCTACCAGGCACTGCCAGGTGCTCTGAGTGTGAACAGATGAGGCTTCTTACCTTTAAAGAATCCAGTCTCCTGTAGGAGACAGAGATCTTCAGAAAATGCAGTGGATTGTGCTCACCGATGGAAGTCCAAGGGTATATGGAAATAGGAGAGGGGGCTGGGTAGGTTTCCTGAGTCATTGCCGTGATGCTTGGGTAGTTATTTGAAGGATAAGGATAAGGAGTAAGCTAGGCAGATAAAAAGAGAAAGCACATTTGAGACTGAAGCATCGGTATATTTCAAGTCAAAGAAGCATGAAAAAATAGGGGATGTTCCAGGAACTGCTAGCAGTTTGGTGTAACTGAGGTGGCAGTTGCCAAGGGGCAGTTATGAGAAAAGTAAAGGCACAGGGCTGGAGGTAAGGCCAGGTCATGAGGGACCTTGTGAGTGGCACTGAAGCGTTGACTCTTAAAGGCCGTGGGGAACCACTGAATGAATGATTCAGGTGGGATAGGATAGATACCAGCTTTGTGTTGTAGTAAACTTACCCCCCAAAAGATTGTGAAAGGGATAGATCGTAGTATTTTTAATTTGGGGAGACTAAATATTGCTGTAATAGGAGCTAATTCAAAGAGTGAACGTGATTCAATGGCAGAGTTAGGTAATTATTATGCGTTTAATAAATTAACCAAATTGTTAATACCTCAACCCATGTCTCTTACCCGAGAACCAGTTTTATTTTCTTTCAGACATTTTCTCCTAAGATAACTGGCATCTAAAATAAAAAAAAACTGTTGTTCAGAGCTGAGAGTTAGTACTTCTACAGCTGATATTGCTGTCTGAAAGAAAAAAAGAGAGAGAAAGGAGAAGGAGGAGTTGCTGTAATTAGACACGTGGCTTTGCAGGGTGCTGGATGACATTTAAAGCATTTTATTTCTTGCTGCAAAACTCTTTCTGTTGAGTAAATGAGTAGGAATTAATCAATGAAAACATGACAGTGATTCTGGAGATTTTATAATTGATGTAATGTTTTTGCTTATTGGACCAATTAAGCCTGATTGACTTGCACATTGCAGCAGCTCTGACAAAGCACCCATTGGTCGCATTTCAATTCTCGGTGCTCACTGCAGTGCGGATCCACTGGCAGGATCTCTGGGCTCCAGGATCCAGTCAGAGATGGCATTCATAGCAATCACTTATGCAGATGTTTAAAGTCTATCAGTTCAAAATACTCACCTAGCTGTGTTAGTTCAAGATACCACATCCTGTTTGTTTTAAATGCCTATGAACCATCATCGTAGCTCTTACTTTAAGGTTAACGCACAAAAGAGTATATATCAACTTGATTTCTGAAGGGCATGTTATTAAGTTGATTTTCATGTAGACCAGGCTTTCTCAGCCTATCGATACTTTAGACCTGAAAAATAGTTGTGGTAGGGGCTGTCCTGTGCATTGTAGGATGCTTAGCAGCATCCCTGGCCTCTACCCACTGGATGCCAGTAGCAATTTCCCCTCAACCTTTAGTTCTGACAGCAAAACTCGTCTCCAGATATTGCCTGTTGTCCTCTGGTGGGTAAAATTGTCCTGCTTCAGAACCATAAATGTAGACATTTAAGGGTTAAAATAAAACAAAAAAGGAGCAGTTCAGTTGACCTTCCCATGGGCTAATTGCATTTATTCACGTCTCAAATATCTATATCCATGTTTATATAGATACAGCTAAAGATGTAGATACAATGTTTTGGCATTTTGCTGAGTGTTCAAATTTAGGGATTATTTCATAGAATGAAGAAATCTGAAATATCTGTGAAATGGTCTAAATTAATATTCATGTGAAGTTTCCATATTTTTAAACTTAATGTAGAGAGAAAGGAAACTGAATCATAGAAATGTGTATCAAATAAAATAGGTGACGTTCCATAACAAATTTTATATTTTTACATAATAATAGCAAAATTAGGATTAAATTTGTAAGAACATAACACAAAGATAATTCTTTTCAGTCGTGGTTTACAATATTGGAATTATACATTTGTTTTAGAATTTCATTTTTATCTATACATTTAATAGTTCTCACTTTTGAAATAAGCTATTATTAGCATCTGAAAATAGCAGTGAGAGATATAAATTTAAGTTTTCATAGGGATTTATACATACCTTACACATCAAGAGCCTAATCTTTGTTCTGAATTGTTAACAACACAATGTTAAGTTTATAGACTGAGCCATGAGATGCCAGGGTAAAGGATGCTGAGGTGAGGGTGCAGTAGGGATGTGCTCCTATCATTACGTTGACCAGAGGTATTGGAATTCCTCCAGCTAAGTTCATAGACGACTAATAAGTTTCAAAGAGGACAGTGAAGGTGGCAGATAAAGGAATAAGCTCAATGAAATTAATTTCTGTCTTAGTCCAGTATTAAACTATTTCTAGCATTTTTTTCCGATAAGCTTTTACCAAGCGCTGACTATATGTTAGGTGTTGTGGTGCCAAGCTAGGTACTTACACTCACATGGTTTCTGTAAAACAGCCCACTGAGGCAATTTTGATAGTCCTGTTTTAGAAATGAGAAAACTAAGAATTAAATGCTTAGCTACATGACATTTAGTTGGTTAATATCAGAACCAGAATTGAGCCTAAATGCTGCAACCCCTTATTGACTGGATATAGTCAACAAGTACCGACGATGTGTGGGTACTTTGCAATCAAGAAAACATTTATCAGTTCCTGACCTTTTGCAGATAATAGTCTTCATCAGATCTCCCTCACGTTTCAGTCGTCTTAGTGCTTTTTCTGAACCATAATCAAGAAGGAGATTCATCCATCACACAGCTGATGGCCCCAGGGAACATAACTTGTGTTGATACAGTAGCCATGTTCCATTAAAACCTTTTCCATAAAGAGAACCTCTGTCAGGTGAATTTTTTGTTCCCACAATATATTATAAATTCAAGATGCCCTTATTCTTCATGTACGACTCCTGGCATAGAGTACCTTCTTTCTCTAATTTGATCACTTAAGGTATGTAATTGATGGAGACTATAATATCTTCTTTGTTTAGCAGTGCCTGCATCTTTTATGTTTAAAATTCCTGAAGACCAGAGACATCTGTGTACAATGTAGCTATAGTGTGGCTTACAATAACTTTGTGTTCTGGTTATCTCAGCAAGAGATCACTTGCAAGGAGACAATGCACCTTTGTGACTCCTGTTAAAACACTGCGTGCCTTTACATGCCTAGAGTATGTACAGCATGGCAGAGGTAAGGAAGGATAAGTTCGTTACATGCTTGCCATCACTGCAGAAATGCCCCTCCGGGCAGAATTGACATGGAAGTTGAAACCTATCTGACATCTCAGATGATATGGGATACAATTCAGATGTGTCCTCTGAATTGTAAAACAAAAGCTGTAACCACACTAAGTATGTATGGCCCCAACTGACCCATTAGTGAACAGATTTAATTCGGAAGTAAAAATCTAAATATCTTTAAAACATTTTATTTGGAACGTATTTACAAGGGCAAACTATTTTCCAAACCTGGTCCTGCCAATGTGATTTAGCTTCTCATAAAATATTTTAAGATGGTAAATTCAAGTTTTGACAAAAACCTCCAACCTGGAAAAAAAAAAAGTCAGTTAAACGCAGTGAGAGAGACTGCCAAAGAGCAGAGAGTAGATCTGTTATCATCATGGTGAAAAGGAATCCAGTTTGTTTCTTAGGGACTTGTCCTGCCTTTTTCTTGGTGTGCCCATTTTTGAAGTTTTGGCAAAGATCCAGGGCAGGCCATGTTAGGACCTTGGTCACGAAGCTGCTGGCAGCCCTGGAAATGGGCTGTTGTGCCTGGATGATGGACGGTCTTCCATCACACTGAGTTCACCATATTTTGTAACTGAGTTCTCCTCTGGGAAGCTCTTCAGATGATACCATTCACTAAATCTGTATACTACTCAGTTTAGGATGGTTGTAGGTGGCTTATTTAGAAAGCATTTGACTATGCTAGAGATTTGAAATATATGCATGTCATATCTTTAGTAAACTTAACACCTGTAAAATCTATATTGGGGTAAATTTCCTAAAGAGTAATCCTTAAACTGTGTTGTTTAGCGGTTCATAAGTTTTGAAAGTAAAATGGATATGTGGCCTAAAATATTTTCTGATAATTTTTATAATTTTTAGTCCCTTTTATTACTTGGTTAACTGAGTGAAAAATTATCGCATGGCTTGACTTTTCTCTTCAGGTCCCAGCAAACAGAGATAAAAAGGTTGAATGTTTGCTATTTTCACACTGCTTCACCACAAGGCAGAACAATTCACAGGTTAATGTGGTTGTCTTTTGTTCTCTCTGCAGTCTGATAGCCTTTCATTTTCAAATTTTGATACTTCGAAAGGGGTGAATGTAATGGAGCCTTTAAGCTCAGTGTACCTTCCTTAACTAATTTAGAGATTGTGCAAGGGTACTGGGGCTTACGTTGGTCATGTGAAGCAGGTGATTTTTTTCTCCAGAAAATCTAGCTTCTGAAAATAGAATTAGGAAGGCTTTGCTTAATTTTATTTTGTCTTAAATATAGTTTGTGAACAACTGCTAGATCCTTGATGTTGGTGTAACGGAACTGCATTATTTTAATTACACAGTTCTATTAAGCATCTTTCAAAAGGCTGAAAGTTTATGCAGTTTTTTTTTTTCAGGAATTCCAGGATAGTTTCAAGGGACTTTTTCTCTTCTGAGATAATCTCTCAGTTTAAAAGGGGAAGATGTCTCTATCATATGTGTGTATACATACGTACATGTGGTCTATATGTGTGTGTATGTATATATTTAGAGAGAGAGAGAAGGAGGGAGGGAGGGAGACAAATATTTGGACTCAGAGATAGAAAGGAATCTTTCAAAAGCATAAACAAGGAAGCCTGTGTCAGGACAAACATGTAAAAGAGGGCTAAATCTGCCACAACTTAGTAGAAAGGCCAGACTCTGATATTCCATGAGCCTTCATTTCTTTAGGTACAAAATTGAATGGTTGACAATGCTATTTCTAAATTCTATTCAAACTCTAAGATTCCACAATTTATTAACTGCAAAATTAAAATTGAAAAACCAACAAAAAAGAGTAGTCTCAATGATCATGGTGAAGCTGAAAAGCTGTTAACTGGGCTTGTAATCCTAGCCAGAGGGCTTGCTGCTATTTGAATATCACGTAACAACTTTCCAACCTTGAATACAATTACTGTCAGAAGTGTCTTATTCTGGTTTTAAAGACTAATATATTTCTGATTTCAAGACATAATTTTTAGAGAAAGTACACATCTTTTATCACATGTAATTTTCACCAGTTGATTTTTATAGCACTTACTTTTACTCCATTTCAATCCATTTTTCTTCTTATTTTGCTGTGTGAGTCGTCTTGCTGAGCTCTGCAGAGTGTAATGGAATATCCTCGGCACCTAATAAGCTGGCAGATCCACTTCCGTTTGAACGTAGATGCTGTGGAAAATTTAACCGAATTAGGCTGTAAGGCTTCACTTACTTTTAAGTGGCTCACGGTGGAAGATTAATGAAGGAATCTTTCAGTTTATTCTTTTATTTTGGAAATGTAGCAATCTGATGCTTTGCAAGGATAGATGATGACAGGTGCAAGACTGAGATTTAAATACACAGGCATGAGGAAGAAACAACTATCGCAGCCAAGTGGGAAGGTGAACAAGTTTTGGAATGTCGTAGTCATCCTTTCTTGTTTCACCGTTCGTTATGAAAATGAGGGACACCCAAATAATTGCTTACGAGTGTCAGTTATTTCAGATCGTGAATTAAGACATTTTCTTTAGATACCATCTCATTTGTCCTTAATTAACAATCAAGTAATAGTTCGCAGAATATTAGACATTAATAATTCCATGTAGCGAATATAGACTGAAATGATGCAGTGTTCATAATTCTGTAATGAAATTGAGGATGTGTTATATATTTATTTAAAGTAATTAAAGCTTTAATTCTAAAGGGAAAATGCATTAGACATAGTTTATATTTGATTTGGTTAATTTAGGGAAAGTAATGATTTAATGCAAAACTCCATGTTTGTTTATTAAATAAATTTTTTTAAATGAAGATTTTCAACATATGTAGAAATGGAGAGAACAGTATAATACACCATAATCCAGTGTCAACAAATTTCAGTATTTGTTAATCTTGTTGCTTCTATCTTCTCATTTTTGGGGGGGGGGGGGAGGTGGGCTTGAGTATTTTAAAGCAAATCCTAAATGTTATCTCATTTCTTGTGTAAATGTTTTAAGATACGTCTTTTACATATAAAGACTTTATTAAAAATGAGGATCTCCTTTATCTTTTCTTCTTTAGAAACATTGAAGCCCAGCTATAGAAAGAGGACTTCTAAAATCGGCTCTTATCTTAAATTTACTATGTATGGTGATTTATTACTTGATAATTTGAATATTGAATTTTGAATATTTGAATACTGAATATCCAGTTTTTAAAAGTCCAATGAAAGACTCGTTTGGTTTAGTTTTTTGTTCTGTTTTGTTCTGTCAGAGGAGGGGGTTGGATAGAGAAGGGCCACTTTCATTTGTTGGATGGTGGGCACGTGCAGTGACCTGATGAAAACAAGATGCTCGGAGGCCCCTTCGCTGGGACACATCTGCACGGCTTTCTGCGATGGTGTCAGCCACCAGCGTCTCCAGCAGCCCTGCGAGTGATCACTTCCCAGCTCTGTCATAAATCATTAAGTAGCCACACTCCAGTGGCCTAAACTCACAGAGCTGACAGATATGCCCTGGCATTTCCCTTCCGAGCCATGGTCATTCAAACCGGGTTGTCAACCTGGAGTCAAAGGAAGCCGACTGAAAGCGGGCAGATTGTGATTGCCAGGAAAGTGAAATTGATGTTTTGCTTGCGGAATAATCTAGATAAAATTTACCAAGCAAGATTAAATTGTTCAGTGTGTATCGGAACATGGAAAAATAATTGGAAAGCTAGAGGAGGGCTTCCGAGATGTTGGAACTGTTAACGAGAGAGATTGCCACCCCATCACCCGCTGCCCGCCGCCCACACATCCTTTGCTCTCATAGGTCAAAAGAGGACTTGGGAAGTGGGAGTAATTTTTTTTCCCACGGACAAAAAAGAAATGACTTAATCATGTTATTTCTTGGGACATGTCTATTATTATTATATCTTATTTATATGACAAAGAAGATATCTCTTAGACATATGTATTATAAGGAGTTAAGGTTATTAGCTCCTTTGGAGCATAGTTGCATTCTGCAGTGAATGAAGATGGGTTTGCCCCAAAGGAGTTTTTTTCTTCCTCAAGGAAAGCATCAATGCTAAAAGGCTCCTCTTGGCAACTTGTTTACAGCTCTTCTCACAATGAAGTGTAGAGAATTGAAGATTAATTTCGTTGAAATCATAAATGCACTGCAATCTGTAGATTATCAGTTAGGATAAACACCATGATTACTGTTGAATTATGCATACAAATATTTACAACATCCTGGATAATGAATTCATAAAAATAAGTAATAATTATAATAATAGAGACCTAGTACTTACATTTCCATATATTTCTCACATCCTGAAGGGAATATTTTCCAACTGGTTAATACTCTCGTATAATTTACCAAGAGTAAGAAGTATTTGCAATGCAATGTTAGCCACATTTATTTCCCTTAGACTTCAGAAAACTCAAGTTTACATATCAAACTTTTGTTTCCTGGAGAAATTTCTAAATATTTTTATATTCTTGCTACGAAATATGTCAATATATTCTTAAATTAATAATTTGAAGTATAATATGGAATTATGTTTTACAAAAGAAGTTCTTTAAATTTCAGAAACAGTTTTTAAATTAATGACTAAAATATTTAGAATTAAAAATGTAGTTTTTCCTTAAGACTGTATTCTGTTAAATTGTTCAGATATGTACAGATATTTGGCTCAGACATCTTAGAAAAAACTCCTACATATTGCCTTGGAGAAATATAAATTGAACCGCACTTTGTTTATCTCTCCTGTTTGAATCGTTTGTTTAATATAGTGATGTAGTTCTGCCTTCATAGTCGGAACCTCGTAAATTAGAGATTCTTTGAAAGTACCATTGTTATTTGTGGGTCATACCTGAAATGTGAAGCTGTTTTAGAAGCAGAATGAAATGTTTATGGTGGATAGACTCGCTGACTAATAGTTGCTGGAAACCTCCCATCTGTCAGATTGTTATGTAGATGATCATATGTTAGATGTGGTGAGAGGAGAGCCGAAACCTAGGGAATCTAAGATAGCACTGTTGACAAATAGTGTACTTTCAGGAATAAGAGGTTGTTGTGAAAAATGCGGAAGCTTCAGATCGTTTGTCCCCAATGCATTTCTTTGCCAGTGATCTGAGGGACGCAGCGCTGTCCGTCCGCTTGGGGACTGGGATTCTGCGGCCTCACCTCAGGGTCTCCATGCCGTTCTGGCTCTCCATCTTCTCCTGGTTGTGCTTCCCTTTTCCTCACTTCCTCTTTTCCCTCTTCTTCCTTTTTCCTCTCTTTCCTTGGACTGAAAATGTGATAGGGAGGAGGGGTTGTGGTTGGTGATTCACAGGCCACCTTCCTGTTTCTTTAATACAAAACCCGAACCATGGTAGCGAGGAAAACACAGCAGTGACAGTGAAGCTCTTCCAAGCAGTTGGAAGATTTTCATTGTGAGTAAGAAGCTATTAATAATGGTAATGATCGTGCCTTTCTTCAAAGGTGTCTTCCTTTTTGATAAGATGATGTTCTCTATTTTTAGTAGAATTATGCTCCGAGATGACACTTTTTCCACTAGACTGGCCAGGTCTTGTTCTGATGTGGGCCTTTGAATCTGGACTGTTGGACACTCCTGGCTGCTCTCCTGCTCAACCATCTGCGGAGATGTGGGCCTGCAGGAGAGGCGCTGCAGCTGGGCTGGTCCAGCGCTCAGAGAGCCTGCGTGGCCACGCCCTGATACCTCCACTTATCAGCCGTATGACTGTTAGCTCATGCCTTCAGCTGTTTGTGTTCCAGTTTCATCATCCTTCGTTTGGGGGTGATACAAGTGCCTATGACTAGGATTGGAAGGGCTTAAAGGAGCGAATACACGTGAGGCACTTACAACAGGGCTTAGCACACATTATATGACGATAAATGTCAGTTGTCATTATGTCTCCAAAGACAATTTACTGATGGAATTAAAACTTATGCTGTGACACGCTTCACTGAATTTGGAGGTCACATGCATGATTCAGAATCTTTGGCAGTTACTTGTTTAGAATTCTTTAACATTGAGTAAATTAGCTATCTTCTACAGTGCTCTGAATATATTTTAGTCAGAACTATCACATTAATTTATTTATTTTTTTTTTTTTAAAGATTTTATTTTTTCCTTTTTCTCCCCAAAGCCCCCCAGTACATAGTTGTATATTCTTCGTTGTGGGTCCTTCTAGTTGTGACATATGGGACGCTGCCTCAGCGTGGTCTGATGAGCAGTGCCATGTCCCCGCCCAGGATTCGAACCAACGAAACACTGGGCCGCCTGCAGCGGAGTGCGCGAACTTAACCACTCGGCCACGGGGCCAGCCCCCACATTAATTTATTTTTTGATAAAATGTACAGCTGTCAAGTACTGGGCACAAGGATAGAGTATGAAGAATATTTCATGTATTCTTGCTATCCTAATGAGACATAGTGCACTTGTTCCTATAATATTTATCGATTTTAATTGTTTGGTTTTGTGATAAGAAAGTTCACATTTTACTACGATGAAATAGATATAATGCTGACATATTTTTAATGCTGTTACCTCTCTGAATTTATTTGAACATTTAAAAATATTTCCTACCTGATATTGATATAATAACTAGACAGCTTTTGCAAAACTTTTTAAACGTGCCTGTATCATTTATTTTTCCTATGAAAAATTTCCTCTTTGAAAATTTTCACAGCTTTTTACAATTGCAGTAATATCAAGAAGTCATACCCAATATACTATGTTATATCATTATTAGAAGTTTTTAAAATGTTTATTTGTAGTAGGCTGAATACTCTATGAACTACATTTTGATTTGTAATATGGTTATCCTGCATGTTTAACACATACTGAATAACTTAAATCTAGATTGGAAACAATGGCAATTAGATAGAAAGACTTGTCTAAGAAGGTGCCACTGGTATTTCTAATAATTAACCTTGAGTTTTTCTATTGAAGACCATAGCAAATTGACAGAATGTACGCCGAAGCAGGAATTCCTATATATGTAGCTCTCTGCTAAGTGCAAGTGTGGTTATTTCTGAAAAATTTTACCAAAATGTGTCATCTTTCACCAACCAATGATCGTTAATATTTGGTAATGACTTTACAGCACTTTCCCTTGCAAAGGAAACCACCTATGGATGCACAGTAACTTTTCTTGGAGGCTTCAATAATAAAATTGTTTCAGCTTTTCTTTCAAACTGTTGTTTTGATTGTGCTTTATATTTTTGGCAAGATATTGTCTGCTTTCCTGGGACTGTTCCAAATC